TTTTGTATTTCAATGAGAAGTAACATTTAAAAAAAAAACAAGGAACAACAACAAAAACCTAAAACAATATCATTTTTATTGTGGAAGAACAAATGTTTATCTAAAGCCTGACAATATGAAGTTGACCTTTTTTTTGAATGTTAGAAGTGGAAACCTGCGCCAGGTAACATTGGTGTATTCAATTCACCTCTTTTAATTCAACATAATAAGTCGTGCTTTTTTTATGCCACCGCAGCATCTGCGATGCGGGTGGCATAAAGTGTTTGTGTGCGTGTGCGTATGGGCGCATGTAATGTGTGTATGTTTGTGTGTCTATATTATGTTAGCATTTATATAGTGAAAAACCTTCTTTGTGAAAAAAACCACTAGTCCCTATGTCTAAACCAAACTTGGGCAGGGTTTGATACCGCCTTGGGTAAGGGGCTTACAAAGATGTTTAAGGAAATTTCATTTCCATGCAGAAGCCTTTGGTTACCATGGCAACCAAAAAAGGAATTATAAGAATTAAATTTTTTAAAAAATCTTTTTTGTAAAGACCCACAAGGGGCCTAGAGCCATAGATAATTTTGCTTTTAAATTGTCCTGGCATTGTTCAAATTATAGGCCCTTGCGGTTCAAGATTGGGGGCCCCCGCACCCATGCGGGTTATTTTTTTCAACTATATTGTACATGTCTGAAGGTTTACAAGGCTTTAAAGCTTTGACTATTGGTATACGATATTCAATCTATATGTATCCATATCATCAGTTAAAAATGCTGTTTAACATCGGTTTTTAATTTCAGCCTGTAGATTAAAATATCCCAATCGAACTCAGAGCCAAAATTTGGTTTGTTTTAGTAAAGCAACATCTGTTGCTTTCGGATATAAATGAAAACCCTGTGATAATGACCAAAATATAGTTTGATTAAGTCGTGTAATGAGTAAAAACTTGCCTTTTATACGTTTAAAGGTCATTTAGGAAGAAAAATGATACAGGGGATTTTTAAAGTTTGCGCTTGCTTAAGACAAAAAAACGGCTTAATGCACGTTGTCGCTTGGCACGTTAGACTATATTTCACTCATAAACATTCATAAATACTAGGGAAATCACTGTGGAATTTAAAAACAAATTGAAAACTTATAAAATTGTAATAATTTTATTTTTTACAGCCCCAGACTCAGCTCCCAGAGATCTAACACCAATACCCGTCGCAGAATGCACCCCCTTGTCTGTGGACGCTGACATGGCAGCCCCCTCTAAAGGGTCCCAACGGAACAAATATTTAGGTAAGGTGTAACTGTAACTATGGCAAAATAAATTTCTGCTTTTCCATTAAGACTATAGTAGCGCAGGAATTGTAAATATATTGATTTTGCTTTTTGGTGACAGGGTTAACATTTTTATTTAAAGCTGAAGTGCATAACAAGTGTAACTCTAGAGAATAAAAGCATGGTAGGATACAACTGGTTTAAAGCTTTTTTAATTTGTTTGCATACTGTTTGTGAGACAGTTACTTGTTTAGATAATGCTTTATTAATGAATCAAAGAGAGAAAAGATAAATCATTGAAGTCTATGAATAAACATAGCCTTATTAAACAAAGGCTAAACTCAACGGTTTAACAAATATAATTTGAGATTTACCTAATATAATTTGAAATATGTCTGGAATATTTTGTAAGTTATTATTACATATTAATTGTGCAGTTCAAGACATAAGTAGTAACACTATTCGCTACATTGAAGTCTTAAATTATGACTTTTCTTTTTTCCTTTGGATTTTTTTTCTGCTTCTAGATAGGTTTTTTTGAACTTTGACCGTAGTATTTTATGACCCGGATATCTTATTGCATTTGATGAATAAGCATGGGGAAAGCTTTTGCTAAACGATTTTAGCAGGATTTACTACTTGCTGTTTTGATCGACATAGTCTTTGTCACAGTTCTCAGTGATTGATCCTTCAATATAAGTAATTGAGTCACATTTCTCAGTGATTTTAATGCTTCAGTATAAGTAAAAAAATTGTGTCACATTTCTAGCGATTAATGCTTCAGTATAAGTGATTAATTTTGTCACATTTTTCTCAGTTTGATAAATGTTTCAATATAAGTTTGATTTCATTATGTCACATTTATCAGTGATTAATGCTTCAGTAAGAGATTAATTGTGTCACATTTCTCAGTGATTCATGCTTCAGTATAAGTGATTAATTATGTCACAATTTTCATGTTTGATTAATATTTCAGTATAAGCGATTAATTGTGTCACATTTGTTTGTGACTTAATGGCTTCAATATAAGTTGATTGAAATTATGTCAACATTTTCTCAGTCATTTTAGTAATAGAAAGAGCACCGAAACCACGGAGGTTATCTGATTTGGTACGAGGGGGCGTAGCCCCCGGAGTATTAATCAGATTTACGGTGTTTTGGGTGTTCTTTTCTTTTTGTATCATAGTCAAACATGTTAAAAAACACGTTCCCTGTTTTCAACAATATGAAACCCCCGGCCCCAAAAAATGAAACCAATGAACGAACACTGGAATATTGTATTTCTGTCGCTTTCCTTTCTCTGCCCGTTCACCCCAATATGTAAACCCCAGCCCCAAAAATGAGCCCAAATCAATGGGCATGTTTCTGGAGTGCGGGTTTAATAATTCCCGCACTCCCAGTTAACGCACTTGCATGTATATGTTTACGATTTTTAACCCTGAACTTTTCAACAGAAAGGTCTCCAAAACTATTGATTTACAATTGGCCAGTTACACGTCATAATTCAGCGCGTTGATTAATTTTAAATATTAGCGATTTTTTTTCCTAATTTTGAGTGAAATTCATTATTGATGTAAGTGATTAATTATGTCACCATTTTACAGTGATGGGAATGCCTTCAATTATTAGTGATTAAATTTCTATCAATTTCACCAAGTGATTAATTTTGGTTTCAGTATATACATGTATCTGGATTAATTATGGTCACATCCCTCCACGCCCTAGCATCGGCTTGAAGCGATACTCCCAATTTCTCAAACACTTAATACTGCTGGCAATCAATGATCCCGATGGACAAGTAAGGATATAACAACTCTGAAGTAAATTACGGGACTTTTTACAGCTGCCACACAGCACTTGACACCTGCTGTTGAGAAGTATAAACATCTGGAAACAAAATGATCCCTCGGAAGCAATAATCACAAAATAAATTACAAGAGAATTGCAAACTCGGTTTGATTGAGTCTGTACATGAGGGATACTGAATAAGTGCAGCATCCCTCACGCCCCTAGCACAGTCTTGTGCAGTACTCAATTCTCAACACTTAAAAAAGTGCTAACATCAATGATCATATGATCACTTATACTGAAGCACTGTTTTTCACAGTTCTTTTTGCATTAGCTTTTTTCATCTTTATAATTGTAACAAGGTGTATTTTTAGGGTAATCTGTGTTTTGAGATGTTCCCCAGTTTTCCTGTGTTTTAGTCCATATTGTTTATGTAAGAGTTGCTTTCCCCTTGACTTTGGCGGAATTTGTTACGTGTCTCGTGAATCTCGTTTTCATTTCGTTCAGTGCGTTGGTTTTGGTAGCCATTGAGAGAGGAAGGTCTCTCTGTTCAGAAGTTGTGATGTTTTTTTACACTTTAACATGTTTCTTTTTGGGTTGGAAACAGTTCATCTTTGTATAAGGTAACTATTGCAATGGCTGAAGTAATTTATTAAAGAATTATTCTTTGTTATTTTGGCTAAGTAATGTACATGTTTCATTTCGAAGATAAATCCAAGATGGCTACTACTTTCAACTTTTAATCCTAATTATGCCTATCTTTTACTTATCTCAAATAATTTGCATGTATATAATAATTAATGGCATTGTTCTTCACAGCAGCACTCGGTGAGATTCATTTGTGTGGATTTGTGTGGGATGATGGCGTATATCTTAGTTGTTGTGTAAAAGGGCTAAAGATCCTACAGATCTGTAAGTTGATATTTTATTGTCTATATAGTAAAGTTTTATATATATTAAAAGGTTTTCTTTTTATGGGAATTTTTTTGAATTTTTAAAAACTTTTGCATTGTTACAAAATAAGTGTTAAACACAGGGGACCACTGTAAACATTGAGTAATGGACGCTTTTAATTAAAAAACTAGGGAAATTAGCTTTTTAAAATATGTTTTTTTTAAAATAATTGGGATTTTTAATACTTTTGGGTTCGAACACAAGTTTTGTTTGGGGGTTTTTTTTTTTTAAAACCTTTCTCCAGGGGAAAAGTTATATTTAAATTATGAATGATAATTTAAAAAAGAGATAACCCCTTTTAATGACTTATAAGAAACTCCCCAAACCCTTTTTGGGAAAAGGGTTTTACTATTTACTATTTTTTAGTTTCCCCACCTTTTTCACATGGGTTATATGATTACGGAACTGATGGTTGGTTTTCAAGATGTACCGGGTTTTACTTTGTGAATATATCAGATGAACTGTTGTAAATAAAGAAGATTTTGTATATATTGATACCCAAAATTACAATGGAGCCCCCAGTGATGTAGTTAACTAGCGACAAGATCCAGATCGAAGATTGACAACATTGACTTTTATAATCTGTTACAGAAGTGATATTTGTATTAAGTGATTCATTTTGGACACTGAAAGGAGTTGTATTATTTTGTAATGCAACGGTGAATTGAATTTAGTCTACAATTAACAAAAAAATATTATTTTAAGTACTGTAAAGACTATATTTTATAAACAAAATGTTTTAAGTAATCCAATACTTCACAGCAAACATTTTTTATAGAAGATTAATTAACAATTTTCATAAATATTGATAAATATTTGTGCTATGCAAATTTGACATGTCTTTAGTGTAGGAAAGATTAATCAACCTTTGACAGAGGACACTTTTCGAGACTTGGAACACATCTGGTTAGAAGATCATCAACAGAGGATTATTTGTAAAGTGACAGTATGTAAAGACATTGACTGTGGTTAGATAAGCAGTGGTCCTCTCTGTGCAACTGTAGTCCAATAGATTAGACGTTACAGGCTTGTTATAGTTTTATGTTGGTCAAGCCTGACGTCTAATAGTTATTGCTCAAAAACGCGTAGCATTTTGAAAATTTAAAAAAATGTCTGTTGACTTGCCTTTCAAGCTTTATTCAAAAGCTTATCTTCTGTTTTTTCAAATGCATGGTCTATCATTAACAAAAACTTTCAAACAATGTACTTATCAATTAAAAATAAAATATACATATCAGTCTATTTCGCTCATCGGCCATACTGGTTAAGTAAAGCGTTTTACAGATTGATTCCAATTTTTTGAACGGAAAAATATATTCGAACACACTGACGGTGCATGGGCAATTATTTCGTTGAAAAAATATTCCGTTAGAAACTTCTGGACTCATTTAAACGCTTGCATTTGAATTAGCCAATCAGATTTCGCGCACTGTATGGCGGCCATTTGTATATTGGCTGTACAAGGAATTTAATTAAATGAGAGGATTTAATCATGACTTTTCGGATGTGACAGTTCAATTATTTTGTTAAAAGGTATTTATTTTTTAGTTTTGTTCATAAATAGGTCAAAATTAATGTGAATACACGCTGTTTTAATTGTTTAAATTCATTAGATCTAAATCGATGTCTAATGTCAATTTTTTTGCTACACGATTTTGCAAAGATCTGTTAAGACCTAACGTAACATGGAAAATGAAAAATGTAAAATATCAGATTAATGAATGATAAATATGAAATAGGTTACGTATAGGTCTTATAATTAGGACTATGTGCAACTGTAGTGAGTTAAAATAATTTTAGTAATAATCTAGGTCACTTAGGGTAAAAAAAAACTAAGTACGGGTATTTTTTATTTTTTTCTTCCAGTAATTTATTTTATTTCTTTTAGTTAATTACGTACATATTTTTGGGTTTAAAGTGACCTTGATTAAGAAATCTGTATTTTGCATACACTTATGTTTATTTTATTTTAAAAAAAAAGGTGCGATATTGTAAGCGGAAGTAAGTAAGTGAGATCACAATTGCACTGCACTTAACCAACTTTAAGTACTGCATGAGTTTAACAAATTCTTTTTCTGGTGAATAGTAGCTTAACCACATAAATCTCTCAGCCATTTTGGATAAAATTTAAAGAAAAAATTCAAAAAATTGTAAGTTTCTTCAGCCATTGTAAAAGAACCAAAATAGACACTTGTCTCTTCCATTAAGGTGTTTATGGTATTGTGTATTGATTGACCTACTTCTGTCCAAGGTTAACAGGTTTACAGTAGGGACTATTTCAAGATTAACTTTTCTGGAGGTGTGTTTTGTTTCTGTGTTCTGATTGGTTGAAAACTGTCCTAGATTTATGTCTGACATTGACATTGGATATTTTGACAGCTGATTTAGTTGGGAGAATTTGGTGAATTGATATTTATTCATTAATTCACAGTAGTAGACCTATTATCTATTGATAATAAAAAGCATATAAATAATTATCAATTAAAAGGTTGACAACTACACTTTGAAGTATTTATAAAATATTTGTTTAGATATTAATAATATTTTTTCTTACAGCGGGAGCATATTTCCATTGAATATAAACTTTCATAAAATTATAACAGATAATTTTGTATTTCCTTTGCAGATAAAAATAGTTTAATATTCTACATTGGTTAAGAATACAATGTGACTTTGATGTTTCACACTCAGTAAATATTTATGAATTAATTGATTAATTAAAAATAAAATATTTTAATTAATTAATTTATTCTTCAAATGTAAACAATTTGTTTGTTGAATGAAATTTATATTCATTTAACAATTTGAAGTCAAGTAATTAAAAGTATATTGACTAGGAGGTTATCATAGCATATATATACACATAAAGTGTACCATACAAGACAACCAGTTGTGTTTATTTCATTCCCCCCCCCAGCAATAAAACGTTAAAACACCCCTCCCCATCTACTTTCAATTAAACTAAATATTTATCATGAATACTTTCTAAAAAGTTTTGACAGTATTGATGGTATAAAAAGGGATTCCATGTGTTTGAGTTATTATTGCAAACAGAAAATTGATTGCAATTAATACTTAAGTAAACCATGCACAATTCATTGTGTTGATACTTGTTATTGCAAACAAATACATTGATTGCAATAAATATTAAACTTTACGTAACATTATTACTGTAATACTTTGTTACGGTAATAAATAAATTGTTCGCAACATATACTTCGGTGTGCTGCAGCTTTCGTGTCTTTATTTTATACGGTATTTTAAAATACGCTGTGAACATTTGTGATTACATGTTGTAAATATTTGAAAATATTCAAATACTGAAATATATCGGACATTTATGAATGCAGTGTTATGAATATTTGGAAAAGAGAGACTGGATAAATTTATATACACTGAAATACTTAGTGTTTAAATTTGTGGATATATTCTTTAGAAGGATTTCGTGACAACTGAAGTTATTCTTCAGCAGTGAATCCTCGCAACATATATTAAAAGGAAATATATATATTGAAAATGACTTCAAAAGAATCTAAAGCAATGGAAGAAAAGGATCGCAAACTTCTGGAAGCATTTCATGAACTAGATGGAAGCGAAGGCATTGAAACGAAGGAAGATCTTTTAGCATTTATCAAGCACGTCGGGACAGGATTATCAGGAATCAAACCTGGTGCTTCGGTACATATTCCAGAGACAACATCTTCTAAATTTCCACGCATTTCATTGTTTTATGGAGAGAAAGGCAAAGGAGAAGTGGGCAAGTTATTCAATATAGACAAGTCAAGAACTACTCCTTACCACGCCATGGGCAATGGAATTTCCGAAAGATACAATAGAACACTTCTAGACATGTTAGGCACCTTACAACTAGATCAGAAGCCAGATTGGAAGAAATACCTGCCGACATTAGTTTTTGCATATAACAGTACTAAGCATGAGACCACAAAGTTTACACCCTATGAATTGATGTTTGGAAGAAAGCCAAGGTTACCTATAGATTTTCTATTTGAAACACCCACAAATGAAAGTTCTAGCGATTTGGCAGATCCAAAAACATATGTAGAGGAATTAAAGCAAAGAATAAAATCAACACAAGAAGCAGTTAAAAAGATTTCTGATCAAGCACGATCCAAGCAAAAGCATTATTATGATCGCAAAGCAAAGGCAGCTCAAATTAAAGTTGGAGACACTGTTCTGGTAAGAATCCTAGCATTTGAAGGAAAACATAAAATTGAAGACAAATTTGAAAAGGAAGCTTGTAAGATAATAGGCCAACCCAACCCTGATATACCTGTATTTGATGTAAAATCAGAAGATGGTAGTGTAAGAAGACTACATCGTAATCATTTATATCCATTAGAGTTTCTGGAGAAAGAACCAGTTTCTGAATCAAATAATGGAGAAGCCATGATTAATGATACTAGGGTCATAGAGAAGAAAAAGATAGAAGATAAAAGAGAATGTTTAAATGATGTCGACATCAATGACGAAGAAGACAGTAGTGGAGATGAGATTGTATTACATACATTCAAATCTGGGGACGCCTGGACTCCAAGTACTTACAGTAAAAAATGGACAAGTTTACCAAAAAAGAAGACTACAGGTGATGATAAAAGTGAGGATATAACTAAGAAGAAAGTAAATACAGAAAAAGATCTAGAAAGAAAAGATAAAGATGAATCTCAAAGCAGTCACACTGACAGCAAGAGTAAAGATTTAGAGACAGAATTAGATTTATGTGAAGAAATAGATTTAACCCAGGAAGATGAAAGTTTTGAGAACAGTCTTAAAAATACAGGTATCAACACACAAGGAGAAAGTGAAATTAAAGATTCAGGGCCAAGAAAATCAGAAAGGGTACGAAAAAAGCCGAAATGGATGTCAGATTTTCAAACATATCAGATGACCACAAGATCTGTTGATTCCAGACTGAAAGCTCTACAAAGCTTGTTTAATTCAGGCATTTTGGATGACATGAGCACAGAAATTGCAGAGAATATGGTCAGTTCTGTATGGAAACACTAAATCTTGGATGTTTTTAGTTATGTGTAAAAAATTGTTTTTAGTATTAATCTTTATGTGCCTTATATTGTATGTTTTATATTGCAGGAATGCAATTTTTGAAAGTGGGGAGGAAAAAGGAAGTATATTAAACATCTCTTTATTTTTTTCAGAGACCAGAATATCCAGGAAATTGCTTTATTAACAAATGAGTCTTGTTTTTCAGAGTGTAGCCAGAATTTGTTGGGAAAAGAATTATATTTGATAAAAAAAACTGAGTATTGTATTTAATATTGTAATACAATTTCTTTATTACAGTTTTTATGTGGTTAAATTTATTTTATTCCACAGGGATATGTGTGCTGAAGTTTACCTGCTATAATCATGATTTTATATCAGGGTGACCTTTATTGCCTTAAGGTGGTTCAGGCGTTTCTGATATTAAGGTGGTTCAGATAGTTCGGTTATTAAGGTGGTGTAACCATTATTTTTGGAAAATGACAGGTGTCATTTTAAACAGGCCAGGGGAGAATGTAACAAGGTGTATTTTTCGGGTAATCTGTGTTTTGAGATGTTCCCCAGCTTTCCTGTGTTTTTATCCATATTGTTTATGTAAGAGTGCTTTCCCCTTGACTTTGGCGGGAATTTGTACGTGTCACGTGAATCTCGTTTTCATTTCGTTCAGTGCGTTGGTTGGTAGCCATTGAGAGAGGAAGGTCTCTCTGTTCAGAAGTTATGATGTTTTTTACACTTTAACATGTTTCTTTTTGGTTGGAAACAGTTCATCTTTGTATAAGGTAACTATTGCAATGGCTGAAGTAATTTATTAAAGAATTATTCTTTGTTATTTTGGCTAAGTAATGTACATGTTTCATTTCGAAGATAAATCCAAGATGGCTACTACTTTCAACTTTTAATCCTAATTATTCTATCTTTTACTTATCTCAACTAATTTGCATGTATATAATAATTAATGCATTGTTCTTCACAGCAGCACTCGGTGAGATTCATTTGTGTGGATGATGGCGTATATCTTATTTGTGTAAAAGGGCTAAAGATCCTACAGATCTGTAAGTTGATATTTTATTGTCTATGAGTGTAATGTTTTATATATATTAGGTACTTTGATGAATTATTGAATTCTAATAACTTTTGCATTGTTACAACTAAGTGTAAGCACAGGGACCACTGTATCATTGAGTAATGGACTGCTATAATTAAGAACTATGAACTTAGCTATGAACTATGTTTTTGATATAATTGGAGATGTATAAATAGCTGTGGATTTGAACCACAAGTTAGTTTGGGTATTTTACCTACTCCAGGTAAAATGTATATTTATTATGAATGATATAAAAGAGAGATAACTCTTTATATGACTTATAAGAATCTCCAATCATTTGGTAAGGATTGTTACTATTTACTATTTCAGTGCCTACCTTGTTCACATGCTTATATGATTACGTAGACTGATGGTTGGTTTACAAGATGTACCGGTATACTTTGTGAATATGTCAGATGAACTGTTGTAAATAATGTAAAGATTTGGTTTGTCAATAAACTACATATGATCGAACCTGAAGAGAAGATTTTGTATATATTGATACCCCTGAAGAGATACCCAAAATTACATAATTATAAATGAACCTTGTCCCTCAGTCCTTGTTTAAAAAAATCTTTCCCTTTATGTCTTTATTTTAATGGTTCAAATGAGCTTTTTCCTTTTTCTTAATTACCTGAGCACATTAAGCCTTTGTTGAATGAACCCTTTCCAAAAAGCTCTTTTCCTCTGCCTTTTTAAATGATTTTTTTCCTGCCTTTGAAACATGAGCCCTTTTTGTCTTTGGTAAATTTGCTCCCATGCCTTTATAAAAAAGAGAATTTTTTAACCCACCTTTGTTGAATAACATCTTTACAAAATGTTTTTTTTTCTCGAGCTTTATTTCTCTGTCTTTGATGGGAGTTCTTTATGCCTTAGTTAAAATAGCGCTTCAAAGGTTTACGGTGTCATTATACCCCCACCACAAAATGTAGGGGTGGTGAGGGAGGCTATAATGGATTCGCTTTGTCGGGTCGGTCGTTCAGTCCGTCCGTCCGTCTCTATTTTCGTGTCCGCTCTATAAATCCTATACCAATTGAAGGATTTTCTTCAAACTTGACCCAAATGTTCATCTGAACAAGGGAATGTGCAGAAACAATGTTGCTTATGTGAAAGCTCAAGGTCAATGTCACAATTGAAGGTCAAATATCAAACAACCAAATATTAGACAGTATGTCGTGTCCGCTCTGTAAATCCTACACTAATTGAAAGATTTTCTTCAATCTTGGCTGAAATGTTCACCGTAACAAGATGATGTGCAGAACCCATGTTACACTTTTGCCGGCTTAAGGTCAAGGTCACACTTGAAGGTCAAAAATTGACTTAGAAATATTCTTAAGTTTTAACATGTATTTGAATATATCTGAAACTAGAAATGGTATTTGCTTGAAACTTAAAGTATATATGAAGTGTCACAATTAAGATATGCAGGTTAAGTTTCATAACTCTGTATTGCATTTTGACAAAGTTATGCCCCTTTTTAAGTCTATAAATTTACAAACAATCAAATATTAGACAATATGTCGTGTCCGCTCTATAAATTATATTCTAATGGAAGAATTTTCTTCAAACTTTACTCAAATGTTCACCTCAACAAGGTTATGTGCAGAACCTATGTTACCCTTGTGCCAGCTGAAGGTCAAGGTCACACTTGAAGGTCAAAAATTGACTTAGAAAATGTTCTTAAACTTTAACATGTACTTGAATATTTCTGAAACTAGCACAGATATTTGTTTGAAACTTAAAAGTTATATGAGGTGTTACAAGTACGATATGCTGGTCAAGTTTCATAACTCTGTATTGCACTTTGACGAAGTATGCTCCTTTTTAAGTCTTTAAATTTACATACAATAAATACTGGACAATATGTCGTGTCCGCTCTATAAATTCTATACTAATGGAAGGATTTTCTTCAAACTTGACTCAAATGTTAACCCAAACTGGGCAATGTGCAGAACCCATCTTACCCTTGTGCAAGCTTAAGGTCAAGGCCCACTTAAAGGTAAAAAATTGACGTAGAAAATGTTCTGAAATTTTAACTTGTACTTGAATATTTATTTCTAAAACAAGAACAGATAATCATTTGAAACTTCAAATATATACAAAGTGTCGCAAGTAAGATATGCAGGTCAAGTTTCATAACTAAAAAAAGTGTGGCGTGGGGGATTGGGGAGATAACTTTGTTTTGTATTTTGATATGTATATGTATTTGTGCCACTAAAGTTATTCATTCCCTTAACCACCTTTCCAAGTTGTCTTCTGTCAAGGACATTGGTGGGGGTATGAATCGAATTCAGCGATAGTTTTAGTTGTGACAACAAAACTACCAAACTTGTTAAGATAAGCTCACTTCTTTAAGTAGTTAATGTCACCAACTTGTCCCTCCCTATAGTGGCTTGAATAGAGACTTTGGATTCTTTCATGTGAGGAATATATCCAGCTAGCTTACAAGATGTTTGTTGATGGTTGTACTCAGGTGCCGGATCTTGCCCGGGATAATGCAGGAATGGGCATCTGAAGTGTTCCTCCACTTGTAAAGCTGAAAAGTTGTTATATGGCCTTTACTGTGTTGGTTTGACTTAAAATCCAAATAAACAAATAAAAGTTCCTCTTCCTTTTTGCTAAAAGAAGCTTTTCTTCCTTCCTCTTCATTATTGAGCTCTTTTAAATGCAAACAATCTATGTTTCAATGATATTGTCTGTAACTTGTTAAATTAAGTTCTTTTCTTTTCCTATGTACAAAAAGTAACTTCTATTAAAAAAATCCGTTTTCTGAGCACATTTTCTCTTATTTTTGTTGTATCATTTCCTCCTTCCAATGTCTCTGTTAAGCCAATTTCTTTAATATTTTGTATTAAATAAAGACCATTGGTTCTAGAAGAGTGGCAGTCAATGACTGCGGTTATTTCTAAAAGAGCAGATGCGATAAAATCAGTTGTCACTATTGCCCAGGTTGTAACATGGATGGTATTAATTTATCCTGATAGGTCTATACTTGTTTTTGTGTTTCGGAAACAAAACAGTGCATTAATTCATTTCATAGAGTCACGCTCTTTTAAGATACTTGTATAGATATGTTTTTTTACTCTTTATTACGTCATTTCAACATGTGTCAATTCACCTTATTTGCATGTCATTGTTTATCTTTCATTTTTCATCCCAAGTTCATGATGTATTGTATGTTAGTACATTTTAACTTTTAACTGTATTTTGTGTGTAACAATACATGCATACTGTTTGAACAGTCCTTATTGCAAGGAAAGACAACTCTTAAGACAACCGTTTGTAAAGATAATGTACATAATTCATATTTGATCAACTTGTTCACCTTTATGTACATGTAATATATAGAACATGATAACAGTGGAAAGTCGTTTAGGTCATAATTCTATATGATATTGCCTTGAAAAGGAAATGGAAAAGTAATCATTGACAAAGAGGGCTACAATTGTTAACACAGATTAAGATTTTTTTATTTTTGTTTCAAGCAGGTTGAACAATATGCATTTGCTTGTGTTTTTGAGACTTTTTTAATTTCACAAATGAAATATGATCAAAATATACATTTCCTTACATAAAAAATATCATATAAATGATTGAACTTTACATTCTGCTTGCATTTCTAGGATACCTTGTGTTCTATACCACTGATCATACAAAAGATGACATCGACTGGGTCGTAGAAGGTGTTCTTGGAGATAAACATTCCATGACTATCACCGACCTTACTGCTGATACTACCTACTATTTCAAAGTTCAGGCGAGAAATAGTAAAGGTTACGGTCCAATGTCACCCATGAAAATATACAAAACTCACAAAAGTGAGTATATCTTCTCTTTTTTTTTCAACATGTCATTTTTTGAAAGAACATTTGTTCTTTTGTCCATGATGATTTATCTTGTTCACACAAAAATAAATCCTGCTGAATTTCCGTTATAGATTTGATCATTTGCCCTTCTTTAATTTTAGAACAGTCCATTCAACTTTTAGGGATTATCGGTATTAATACCAATTTTTAGGAAATAAATATAAATTCTGAGTGCATTGTTGTAGATTAATGCACGGTTTGAGTTAAAATGGGAAGAAATAAAATGACGAAGGCCGATAGTCCTGAGTGATTAGTTACAAACAACAAATTGAACATACTTTGTGCATTATTATACTGCAATGCAAAAAATTGATAATTATATCCATTTTAACATGCTTATAAAAAGAGAATTGATAAAAATGTACATTGAACGTAGAAGTTATTTTCCTGACTTCATTTGATTTTTTGATTTATTGATGTCATAATTATGATGTGTAACAGTTTAGAACATGACCATGCAAGAACAATTAGGCTGGCATTGCATTTTTTTCACAAATGCATTCATGTTTTGGAACATATTTATTCTGTCTTCAACCGCTTCAAATCACTATTAACACAAAATTTATCACAAATCCGGCCACCCAAGAACAACCTAACTTACTGTGTAGGGGACTACGTGTTTTCGTAGCATGCACGTTAAAGTTAAATGAAACGAATAACTTTAAATTCATTCCTCGGGATAAAGGAATCACGGAATGTATCCGGGCATGCCAGTATATATAACTTAATATCTGAAATAACATAAATCAATTGTAATCATTAACAAATGCATGATTATTAAACTGTGGAGCAAGATCGTGACTCATTTGAATTTCAAATGGCATATTGTCGATATAAGTATTCTAACAGTGCCCGTTTTGGGTTCGAGTGTGCCATCTGCAAAACGCCCTTAAAGTGACATAGTCCATAAGGAAGTTATAGTAGCGAAAATAATTGTTTCATCAACATTTGAAATACTCATTGAAATTGTACCAATTGTAGACTAATCCACTTGAATATCTATGCCGTACACGCACTAGTCGCAGACAGATTTGCGCTTTAACTGTTCCTATATGTTTGCTGTTTATTTAGAAAGCATTGTCTCTTATTTATTCATGTATTATTATTTACAGAGGATGTAACTGTCACAACTCCAATATCTACTCAACAGATCCCGGTAAGAATGCATATATATTAGGAAATTATTATTGTATTTGAAATCTTTATGATGAACACATCTGCGGACGTTTCTAAATTCAAAATTTCACCATTTTCGTGTTTAAATTTTGTTTAAGCCGGTGCTAGAGGGTGGGGACGGTAACGTGCATTTTCCAGTACCGTCCATCAACAGGCTCAATAAAACCAAGTCTGCAACATTTTCAATTTTGTAGTTTTTGGCGTTTATAGGGGTTCCTTTTTTTTCTATTTCACTGTAATAGTAAGGATTGAATATTTGATTTATGATATTTCCTTTAAGATTTTAAAAAATAGTTTCTCAAGAAATAAACCGTCTTAATACTAGGAAAGAATATTTTAGGATAAAACCTCTGTTATGTTAGAAATGAATATTTTAGAAGATACAGACTCAATCAAACAGAGTCTGCAATTTCATGAAATTTTGTTGCGATTAATGCTGCAGAGGGATCACCCTTTATCCAGATATTAAAAACTAAAACCGTTATGCTAGAAACGAATATGTTTGGATTAAACCGAAACTGTTATGTTAAAAAAAAGAATATTTTAGAATAAAACCAAAACGGTTATGCTAGAAAAGAATTAACAAGATTAAACTAAAACTGTTATGCTAGAAAAGAATATTGTAGGATTCAGTCAAAACTATTATGCTAGAAAAAAATATATTTATGATAAAACCAAAATTGTTTCGATTTGTATAGTCTTTAGGTTTCGTAAGTGCACAAAAGCGTTTATGTCGTTATTTTAACGCAAAGATAACTATGGATTATCAAGCAATTATGTATTAATTTAAGTGATTTGAAAAGAAAAAACAGCCCCCCCCCCAAAAAAAAAAACCAACAAAAAAACCGAAAACAAACAAACAACAAACAAACAGTCAAACAAACAAAACCAACAATTTCATGGGATAATTTGAATTCAATACACAGTGAAATCTAATATCAAGAAGAAACGATTTGACATCGTCTGATACTGTATACATGTATAATCAAAACACTCTTTGATTTTCAGGTTGACTCTGAGAGTGACGTCGGCACAATACCGGCAAGGTATGTTAAAATACCAGAAATTTGATAGCACAATTAAGACATGTTTAGTTTGTTGAAAGGTGTACCGCCTGTCGATTCCAGATTATACAAGCCTCACAGGAATTTCGTATGTATGACACTCATTGATAAATCTTTTTGCAGGAAAGTAAACAATGTCATGTTTCATTTCTTAGTTAAACCTATTCATTTTATTAATTCCGTCTCTTGAGTAAAGTCTGAAAATATGCTTACAGATTTATTATACCTCCACAAACGAAATTTAGGAGGGTGTATAAGGGAGTCAGCTTGTCGGTCGGTTGGTCGGTTAGTCCGTCGGTCTGTCCACATCATGGTTTTCGGACGATAACTAGAGTTTGGAATGAGGTATTGTAATCAAACTTGTTATATAGCAACATTATGTGGTAACCCCGGTTAGTATTGCATTTGAACCCCCTGGAGTCAAGGTCAAGATCATCATTACTAAAAAAAGGGAAAAGTGGTTTTCGGACAATAAATACAATTAGGAATGAGATTTTGTAATCAAACTTGGTGTATAGAAAACTTATATGAAGACCCCGATTCGGATTGCAATTAATTGTAATAATTTTTTGTACAGTTGATTAATCATTTACTTTAGGTTGAGTTCAATTATTTCTTCAGATCTTTAATTTGTACAAAGGTCAAGGTTGCTGGTGGGAGTATTAATCACCTTTACTCATTAACCCGTAAGTAAATCAATTATTTTCTATTCTCAAATACTTCCTAACAATAACAACAACAACAAACATTATAGGTTTAGGTTGTTGTATTTGACAGGATTATCACATTTCAAGATCAATAATTTCTCTAGTCTATTGCAAAAAACATCTGCTGGAATGAGGGCTGTCTCGAATTTCGGCGTAGTCATGATGAAATCAACTGAAAATATCTGAAACCATGAAAAGACTGAGAAAAAAAACAGAACATAAAAAGGTGGGTGGGACGGGAATATGTATGCTTTCTTCTGTCATTTTACGAATTGTATTCTGTCAAATACAGACCTCGAGTGACGCTTTTACACATATACTCCCTTATATACAGTACACGCACGTGAAAATCGTTCAAAATAATAAAGGAATGCGCAACAGAGTAAATCGAATTAACGTAAAATCATAAATATTTGCTAAAGATAAAACAGATACCATAAACTGCGTATTGTTCGAAACGAAAATAATTTCATTTACTCTGTAAACCGTGAGTAAATCAATTATTTTCTATTCTCAAATACTTCTAAACAAAAACAACAACAACAAACATTATAGGTTTAGGTCGTTGTATTTGACAGAATTATCGAGCAAACAAAGAAAGAAATAAATTGTAGAAAAACAACTCCATGAAGAAAACACCATTGAAGAAAATCACTATACATTACAACCATTAAATTTGAAAATTTCAAAAATTTATAACTACATTAATTTAAAGACCAAAAAAAAGAAAAACAGAATAAACTATACTCACCTTAATGAAAATTCTTTGTCTTAACTTTAATCATCTTGACCAGATCCAATCATCCATCAAAATCAATCATCATGGCTTTTACAGCAGTCATCTTGACTAGATTCAGTCATCTTGGCCCACCAGTCATCCTTAACCAAATTCAGCAATCCTGCTCCTATACAACGGTCATCCTGACCAAATTCAGCCATCCCGGCATATACAACAACGGTCATCCTGACCAAATTAAGCCATCCTGGCCTATACAACGGTCATCCTGACCAAATTCAGCCATCCCGGCCTAACCAACGGTCATTCTGACCAAATTCAGCCATCCTGGCCTATACAACGGTCATCCTGGCCAAATTCAGCCATCCTGGCCTATACAACTGACATCCTGACCAAATTCGGTCACCCTGGCCTATGCAACAGTCATATACAACAGTCATCCTGACCAAAAGTCTACAAAAGTAATATTGACAAATATTTTAGTCATTCTGACTACATTCAGATATGCTGGCCTCTGAATGTAACACATTGACTTAACTACCCTGGCCTTATTCTGTGTTCTTTAGACTTTTGTGATTTCATTTCAACAGTTTTCTACATAAATTAACAAGACTCTTAAACGTAATAAAATATTCATCTGAATATATTTAGTTGCAAATATCTCTTAAAAAATAATTAAACATATGTAATTGCTTAATTTATAGTATTGTACGTAATAGAAACAAAATCAGAAATAATAACATTAATAACTGTTAGCATGTAATCACCAATAATTCTAAAGTAAGTCAGAGTCTAGGATCGAACCCTAGCTACTATCGTCTCCACAATTGCAAGATTGCAGGATAATTGCAGATAAAAGTTAAAAAAAAGTAGGGCTTTTATCTCAAAATAAAAAGTGATGTATTATTTTTGTATAAAACAAATTAAAATAAATTGATTACTATTTAATAAGTTTTGCATTATGAATGTTTTAAATCAAATTTCAATACAATTATGTTTAATAAATCTAAATTCAAAGACACAGATAATCTGTTTTTTAATGAATCTTTCACAATACCATCTTTAGCAGTCGCACTTTTCCATCTACCATGTCTTTGCCAAAGTCTATCACTTGTGTTAATAATTACACAATAATGCGACTTAAACTATTTGCCGTCTTATTCAGCGAGCAGTTAATCCAAATAACATTTAAAGATCATTTTCTGCACATGACATAAATATTTTAAATGCGAAATTGTGCAATACCAAATCTGTGCTACCTTTTTCTATTGTGCTTACACAGTTCTTACTATCTGTATGCCATTGAACTGTTTAACCTTAAATTTTGAAATAAAGCTATCCAGACAAAATTGAATTGCTCACAGTTCCCAATACGTCGGACTCTGACAACGTTCATAATCTGACCATATTTTATGTGCCACAGAACCATCATAGTCAATATATGCAGCACCAGCCACCGCTGACGCATCAGAATATATGAACACTTCCGGTACATAATCTTTAAATAAAGATTTCTGAAAAGGAGAACTTAATATGTTTCTCCAGAATTCAAAAAATATCAGCTGTCCACTCTTCTTCTGCTTTCAAATCGTGTTTCAATTCTGAAATTTTCTGGTCGAAAATTTCTTGCATTTCTCCAATAAGAGCCCTCTTTTAATCTGAACTGCTTTCTTCTGTCATTTTACGAATTTAATCCTGTCAAATACAGACCTCGAGTGACGCTTTTACCATAGGAACTCGAGAACGGGACCGTAGATTTCAATCGTGTAACAGTTTTTAAAAACGTTTCTGCTACATCTAAATATCTTTTAGTATTATCCGAGTATATGGCCTCAAAAATATATTATCAATTGAACCTAATCTGTCTCTTTTAAAACTGGTAAAATTTTACGGTATTATAAAAAAAGACAAGGAGTGACATCCGCCATTCGCCGCAACGTTTTCGGCATGAGTTTTTCCCCTTTGGCTACAATTGATTACTATCTTTTCAGAATTTTGTTCCCGTTATTTTTGTCAACTATCAGATATCGTCCGGATATAACGTTAACGGTTTATTGTTTACACGTGTTGACATGTATAGGCAGCATTAAAACGGGCGTATTCGTGTTTTGATTTGTTGACATGGAGAAAACAGACACTTTAGTAATATGGTCCAACTGATTTTGCCTAACTGAAAAAAGGAATATTAAAACATGATCCCTAGATAAATATTTTAGGCACTCATCTGGTATTCATAACTAGAAAAATTAAAACAAAAATTAAGCATATCAAGGGGGATAACTTACGCTGAACGTTGCGGTAAATGGCGGATGTCACTCCTTTTCTTTCTTTTTTCAATATACCGTAAATTTGACTGATTTTTAAATTAGCAGATTATATTAAATTGAGATTAGATATTAAAGACCACCCGCTCGCATAATATGAAAAGATATTCAAAGGTCGGACAAACAATATGTAAAGCCGGTACGGATTCGGATTTATGCGCCGCAATATGCGATCCTGTTCTGGCTTTTACACATATACTCCCTTATATACAGTACACGCACGTGAAAATCGTTCAAAATTATAAAGGAATGTAAATCGAATTAACGTAAAATCATAAATATTTGCTAAAGATAAAACAGATACCATAAACTGCGTATTGTTCGAAACGAAAATAATTTCATTCAGTGAAGGTCTAGCTAAAGTATGGTAATTGTTAAAAATACGCAATATCCAGCTGTTATCAACATATAATAAGACTTATTGCGATATAAACTCTATAGTCTATAACGATTTTTAAAAAAAAAACGTTTCTAGAAAATAAAATTATAAGAACTTATTTTATTTAAGGAAGCAGTTCACGTATTTATACCCCCGCACAACAAAGTTGTAAGGGGGGTATACTGGAATCAGCTTGTCCGTCCGGCCGTCCGGCCGTCCGTCGGTTTTTTCTTGTCCGCCCAATAACTTAAGATTCCTTTGACCCTTTGTCTTCATATTTGGCATGGAGGGTAGACATGATTAGTAGATGACCCCTATTGATTTTGAGGTCACTAGGTCAAAGGTCAAGGTCACAGGGGCATTGACTTCAAAAAGCTTGTCCGCCCAATAACTTAAGATTCCTTTGACCTACAGTCGTCATATTTGGCATGGAGGTTAGTCATGATGAGTAGATGACCCCTATTGATTTTGAGGTCACCAGGTCAAAGGTCAAGGTCACAGGGGCCTTGACTTCAAAAAGCTTGTCCGCCCAATAACTTAAGATTCCTTTGACCCACAGTCTTCATATTTGGCATGGAGGTTAGTCATGATGAGTAGATGACCCCTATTGATTTTGAGGTCACCAGGTCAAAGGTCAAGGTCACAGGGGCCTTGACTTTAAAAAGCTTGTCCGCCTAATAACTTAAGATTCCTTTGACCCACAGTCTTCATATTTGGCATGGAGGTTAGTCATGATTAGTAGATGACGCCTATTAATTTTGAGGTCACCAGGTCAAAGGTCAAGGTCACAGGGGCCTTGACTTCAAAAAGCTTGTCCACCCAATAACTTAAGATTCCTTTGACCCATAGTCTTCATATTTGGCATTGAGGTTAGTCATGATTAGTAGATGACCCCTATTGATTTTGAGGTCACCAGGTCAAAGGTCAAGGTCACAGGGGCCTTGACTTCAAAAAGCTTGTCCGCTCAATAACTTAAGATTCCTTTGACCCACAGTCTTCATATTTAGAATGGAGGTTAGTCATGATTAGTAGATGACCCCTATTGATTTTGAGGTCACAAGGTCAAAGGTCAAGGTCACAGGGACTTTGACTTCAAAAAGTTTATCTGCCCAATAACTTTAGATTCCTTTGACCCACAGTCTTCATATTTGGCATGGATGTTGATCATGATTAGTAGATGACCCCTTTTGATTTTGAGGTCACTGGATCAAAGGTCAAGGTCATAGGGACTTTGACTTCAAAAAGTTTGTCCACCCATTTACTTAAGATTCCTTTGACCCACAGTCTTCATATTTGGCATGGATGTTGATCATGACTATAAGGTGACCCCTATTGATTTTGAGGTCACTGGGTCAAAGGTCAAGGTCTCAGGGACCCTGACAAAAAAAAAAGCTTTTCTTCTCAATTGCTAAAGAATGTCCTGTCCGCAATGTATTGATTTTGACATTTTCACATTTGAAGCATGTAGAATACATAACTTAGCAATGCACTGGCTTAGTAACCTCAGATTTGGCAGGGAGGTTGTCCTTGAGCTCTAAATGGCCACTGTTGATTCTGACAAAGTTGTATGCGGGGGTATTCACGCCATGATAGTGGCAGTTCTAGTTTTTTCAACGTGAGAATGATTACAATGATTTTTTACAGTGAAGATGTAAGTGATAAGTTGCTCAGAGCAACACAACTTCAATTCTATCGAGAAGAAATAATGACAGCTCAGAAGAGGCGACAGTTAATGGATATTGAGAAGAAATTCTTTAAAAATGCTAAGAAATATTTCCAAAGGAACGAAAGTGACGATGAAATTGAATAAGAAATGGGTGATTTGGATAGGTAAGTAAGAAAAAGAAAGATACAACAGAAGAAAGGTTGCAAACATATTCAAATGAAGATTTTTGTGATGCTTATCTCATCTACAGTTTCAAAGAGATCAAAACGTTCTGGTTTATTTGCTGTTTTATTCCATTACTCTAGTTTTAAAGATTGATTACGACTTATTTGGTTATAGAGCCATAAAAGAACAAGAAAGACAGTTGTTGTAAACTATTTTAACTTTCGTTCCCCAAGTTCAACATTAACAAGTCTTAAGATCAATATATTAATATCTGGCTACATACTGTTTTCATGTTGCAGCATCTAAATTACTTTTTTGATCTATTTTATATAGAGAACAGTTACTGCTTAATGGACCATTGACTGATCATTTGTTGAAATCAAAGAGAACAGACTGTCAACTGGTTGTCAACGTGATGGTTTGGACCTAGCTGATTGATGCTTACATTTCGAAAACTTAATTTCTTTTTTTTTTTTTTTTGGAAACGGTTATAGCTTCTTCTTCTGCATTATATACATGTGCAATATACTGCTTAAACGTGATGTGTAATAAAGACAGGGCATGAAATCAAATTTGTTCTTTCTTTTCTAGGGAAAATAATCAACGATTGCATGCAAATGCAAATTGTAACGGAAACACGTCAGTTAAGAAACAGATGTTTCATTTCTTGGTTTATCGGAATGTCAATTCTCAGAGTTGGAATTTCATTTATAAACTTTCAAAACAATTTAAAATGAGAACTGGTATTTACCCAATATCATGACTGGCAGGGAGCGGGGGCGGTATTTTTCATAAAAAGTCTCGATACAAAATATATAGTCCGTGCTTTCAGATAGTTCACATGCAGTGATCGGAAAGTAAAAGTTAATATCTAAAAACGATATACAAGGAAGGTTATGGTTCTTGGGCACTACACTTTTTAATGACATATTTCTACGTAAGAACCTTCAAGTTGCCATCGCCGAATATATTCTCCTTTTTCGCGATGGGCTTTTCAACTCTATTTAGATCGATTCTGACGCGCAATTTCTTGTAGATATCTCCTAAAGTATTTGAAAATGTAAAATTACAAAGAGCAATACTTTCAAAATAATACTTAAAAGTTATTAAATTATTATTATAGCACTTTTCTCACATGAAGTTAAACGGGAGAGTATGGAAACGTTGCATCCGATAAGTAAGAGCAACTGGACTGACTGTTTTAACACAAATCAATTTACTTTATTCACAAAGATAAAAAAAACCCCGTTAATTTCGCCCAACCTTTTCTCGATATGCTTAAAGATTTTGTCTAAGTGGAAAGGTATCTATTCATCTTTTGTAAAACATTTGTCTTTTTGACAAGAAAACAAAACAAATTAAATCATTTTGAGAAAAGTGACTAAGAATGAAAAAAATGGTATATTTTCTGTGAATAAAATAAATTGATTTGTGTTAAAACATCTTATCAAATCGAGCATAAATCAGTAATGTTTTACCTCATGATCGAACTAAATGAAGGCCAATTAACGTTTCTTCACATACAAACTGAATCCAGTACACTCACTTTACAACTGTTGTTCTGCTAAAATATTGTATGTAGAAGTATGTATATGTAGGTGAATATACTAGTCCACTGACCTTAATCAAGTGTAGATTAGCCTTGCCATAGACTTGGATATTCTATGAAATATGAATAGTCTGTATACATGTTTTATTATATTAAAATAATGTACAAACAAGAAAAGCACAATTAACATTATCAATAACACATGCGCATTTTAAAAATCAATAGCACATAATTCTTGAAATAGAATAATAATATTTCCTTAAGTGATAAAGATATAGTTAGTCTAAATGCCAAACATTATACTTCACAAGAAATATCTTTCAAAATGATACTCGGCCGAACTAAGACTGGTTTACTTGCATTTGTTATTTCTAAGTTTTCGATATATTAAGCATGGACATATGGCAATAACTATCCTTAAGATTGTATTTTAGAACTATCTGTAAAATTTTATTTTAGAATGGCAAAACCTATCCATTACATTTTATTTTATGATGAACAATGAGATTTCCCGATTTCAGTTTGTAATTATAAACGACCAATGATAATTCTTCTTATATTTAGTTCGTCCCTGTAAATGTTACAGGAAGTCAAACTGATTTTAGACGGTCCTCGGCCGAAAAAGTTCAAATACGTCATAGAGTACATTCACATTATTTAACTTAAACATTTGTTGTTAAGATCTAGACAAATCTAAAATCGTACGTAATACCTTTATACCTACTAATCTCAAATAAACTTTCCTAGCGCACAAACCTATTCAATTTCTGTATGCATAATTATCTGAAATCCTAAATATATTTTTATATTTTCGTAAATGTTTGTATTTTTTTTTATTCACAATAGATTTAGTCTTTGTTTTGCGTATACGTGTGTACCGAAATGTTTTATTCACGTACTAAGGTTTGTCAGTACAACCTTGGTGTATATTTTTATCTTTAATCCACAGTTAATGTTATTGCATCAACATTTTGTTAACGTCAATATTATTTCAACAGACTTTTTTTCTGACATTTGCTGTTAGATAATTTACTCTGAAAACACATGTTTTTTGTTGTTTTTATAAACACACGAACATTTCGTTAGTTCACCACGCCTACGAAAATAAGATCTCTTGTCAAGATTATATGCAACATTGTTGAATAATTTTGCTCAAATGTACTGAACTTCGTTGTTGTGGAAAGAAAGCAGGAGGAAATCGACACGTAGGGTGGAATTAACGAGGAAAAAAAAGAATTTTCTTCAAACATGGATATGAAACTTTGTCTTTTTGTATCTCTCATGACAACTGTGCATTTCGGATCTGGTATGTGTATAATTTAATGGAAAGTTATAGTCTAAATATATTATCAAAAAGAAAATAAAGATAAGTTAATGGTTAAGCATACCATTCTGGTCAAATTAAGCAGGTATATAATAATCATCATTAAAGGCGCATTATGGTTAGAAACGAAGTTTTCCTTCTTTTGTAATTAGGCAATTATGAGTTTTATAACATTTAAATAATGATTTTAGAGCATTTTAGATGTTTATCTGTTTATCACAGTCATGTAGAAAGCAGTGCTGGATGTGAAATTATTTGTCATAGTTGTAGCAAAAAAAAAAACAACAACAACACGGGACGTTGGGACGCGGTTACACCGTTTTTTCTTAAATACATAAAAAAAAACATGGATTCCAAAAATGTATCTTTCAACCAGTGATTTCAAATGATATAAAATCTCTTAAATATCTAATGGTTCATATTAATTACAAATTTCGTTTGGATGTACAAAATGTATATTAAAATGTTGGAGTATTTCAACGTGTAAGTATTTTTTAATATATAACATCTCAACAAATCTGAATAGATAGTAACAGTTCCTTTCTCAAATTATTTCAATCAAAATAAAAGAAAGACAAACATGTCTACTGACAAAAAATACATAGAAACATATGTCTTGTCAAAAAAATCAAACTAGCATCTTCCTGTAGCACTTTCGAACTTCTTTGACCACTAGCAATGTACTTAAAGCGCGAGGGAATTATTTAAAGATCAAAGCAGCTTTTGCTTGATTAATCGTTATTTGTTTAAAAAAATATATGATAAGTTACTATAATATGTTACAGCTGATGAAGGCCGTGTCACTGTAAAGGAATGGGAGCATGCCATTTTAAAGTGTTCTTTGTCAGGCAATTTCAAAGTGGTAAGCGCACTTTTCTTTCATCCTTCTTTTTTCTATAGAATTAATATACCTCGAACAGTTATGCTAATCTATCCCTTTACTTATCTCATTTGCGACATATAATATGATCCAAGAAGTAAACCAACTCTATGATGGTCGATTGCGGTCATTTCAAACCTGCGATATTTTCTGCCGAAATCGGAAAATTGTCGCAGGGAACGTATAAACCTCTATATTTTATAACTGTTGTTCGAAACAGCACTCCAGTGGCCAGTAGCGTCCAAAGTTTGACTCTACATTTAAAATATCGCTGCAAGTAAAAGCAATTTTCAGTCAGAGACATTTCCCGGCATAAGAAGTCGAAATTTAATGCTCAAACTTGACTTTTTACAAGATACGAGGGTTGTCCCAATATTCTGTGACAAGATTGATTAAAGGCTAAATAAAACAGGTACGAATTTGATATTTTAATATGTTATAAACCCATATAATTTAAACATTTTCACACATTTTCATAGATAAATATCAACAAACAATAAAAATATGCCATAAACACCATGGCAACTAACTGAATTGCGGCGCACGTCCAACGTCAAAGAACAGCGTTAATCTATATAAGGCGCCTTTCTCAAATACTCTCAATGGCTTTCAAACGCAATAATGGTACCCATAAATCGTCAATTTCTGACTTTAATCATGTGGTTGTTTAATGTCTGTTGAATTTTTGGATGGCATACATTAATTTTTGCTATACGCAACTTCCGGTTCTCGTTACTCCTGTTTTTTGCTGTACGAAATAGGCGACGAAGATCGGTCTCCCTATTCGTTTTTCTTTGTTTTCGCTTTTTTTTGTAGCGCAAAACTCTGGTTCCGTTTCATGCCTTTTTACACAAATGCTCAGAATATTTGATTGCTAAACTGTTATAGTTGGTTATTTGTTGGAAAATCTTTACATGTGTCATCTCGAAATAGTTCACGAAACCTGAGTGACATGTTCACTGCGCGCCCCCAAATTCTTTTTCTTTTCGAAACGTCGCCATTTTAACTTTCCTATTTTATATGAGATATTTCATTATTCATATCTTTTTCGTTTTTAAGTTATTTAACTAAAATTTTGAGAGATTGATTTAAACATAGCAGCAGAGGAAGTCAACGTGACATTGTGCAGACACATCATCAGATATTTGAAATATACTATTAATATCAGCCTATTCATAACAAAATGTAAATTATTTGACGTGCG